GCTAAAAGCAACAGAACAGTAGCTAAAAGCAACAGAACAGTAGCTAAAAGCAACAGAACAGTAGCTAAAAGCAACAGAACAGTAGCTAAAAGCAACTGAACAGTAGCTAAAAGCAGCAGAGCTGTATCTAAAAGCAACAGAACAGTAGCTAAAAGCAACAGAACAGTAGCTAAAAGCAACAGAACAGTAGCTAAAAGCAACAGAACAGTAGCTAAAAGCAACTGAACAGTAGCTAAAAGCAACTGAACAGTAGCTAAAAGCAACTGAACAGTAGCTAAAAGCAACAGAACAGTAGCTAAAAGCAACAGAGCTGTATCTAAAAGCAACAGAGCTGTATCTAAAAGCAGCAGAGCTGTATCTAAAAGCAGCAGAGGATTTGCTGATGTGGATCTTAAAAAGTATTTTATTATTTATTTATTTCTAAAGGTGAATTTAATTTTCAACAAATAAAATATGTTTTAAAGTAAAACAGGAAGTCATATCACGCTCTTACAGACGGTTTAATGTTTTGATGCATAAACAGGTAAAAAAAGCACAAACGAAGCAGAGGAAGTTAAAAACAGAAGAAACAAACAGACGTGGAGCTAAAGATGTAAACTGTGAGCCGTACCTCTTCAATGATCTGTCTGATGGTGTTCAGTCTCACAACTCCAGAGGATTTCTCACTTCCTGCGTCCTTCGGCTCCGTTTCTACAGGAGGAATCATTTCACAAAGTCAAAACGACGACTTACTTTGTTTGTAGATATTCAGGAACAGATCTGCTTACTGGCAACAACAAACTCGTCTGGAAGGTCGTTGGCCAGTTTCTCATTCACCGCGTCAGAAATGGGCCCAAAGATCACCACGGGCCTCTTAAAACCAGCTGAAGCCAGAACAAGAACACAACGTTAACACGAACAAGCAGGAAACGATGAATGGGACGTGAAGCCGGGGGAAATGTTGTGCTTTTGATACCTTCACGTAAAACCACTCTCTCGTAGGCGGGGAAGCGCGTGCTGACCGGCGCCACGCTCAGGTCGTCTCGGTTCTTACGCAGGTCCTTCTTCTTGGCCGCCCGCTGACCCCTCAGCCTCCAGAAGTCTCCTCTGTCGTTGCCCGACGCGGCGCGGGCGGCGTTCTGGACGTTGGCCATCTGCTCCGCCCTGAGACAGGGAACAAGGCAACAGAACCGACTCAGCAACTTCACAATCAGAGATCTCTTAGCTGAAGGTCAGGAGGCTGCAGCGTTTTAGWCCACAGATCTGAACACACACACCTGCTCTTGTTGGGAATGATTCCTTTCTCCAGCAGCTGGTTGTCCTTGTCGGTGCGGATGGCCAGCCAGTGGCCCAGCTTGCCGTCGTAAAGCGTGTCGGTGACTTTGAAGATCTCCCCTCTGCTGAAGGGAAGGCTCTGCGGAGCCTCCTTCTCGTACTCGAAGTGGGTTCTGATGAAGAACGAGTCTCCTCTGCCAGAAGCTAAAATGTCCTCGTACACTTGGAAAACAAAAAAACAAAACGTTGCTCCGGGTTCATTCAGTCAGTGTTTTAAAGGGATCCMTGATTAGTTGTAACATTAGACTTTATTTAATAAACATTTATTTAAACTGTAAAATAAAGATTGTAAAAATACTGTAGACTGTTTAGTTTTTATCATTTTAAACTAAAAGTTTAAAAATATATGTTAACACGGACAGGGCCATTTTATTTACATGCAAAGCATTCTGGGTAAATGATGACGTGGATAGGTCCTCGGTGCGAGGCTGCTAGCGAGCTATATCCACCCTGAAGGTTAATCTTGGAC